ATGTACTGTGCGAAATCAATCGATCTTGCAAGAATACATTTTTGGACATCCCTCTTCTAAGAATTCCAATTGAGTGTGTTAGTGTGGCCAGCTCAGGGCAATATGATATTATAAACACAGCACATATCATGTCTCTGCTGTTTATAACTTCATAGGAAAGTAAACACGCCATTCGTAACAGTTTGAACGAGGAAACCTCTCCCAAGAGCAACATGAACTTTGCTGCAAGACAGGCATACGTAACGATGAATTAGCGCACCTAAACTCGTGTCTCATTAAATACGGTTCTCCTGACAACAGGCCAGCGAAAAATCTAACAATCTACAGCAAAACCATCAATTATTATGGGCGTTATAACATAGGTGTGCAGCTGGACGAAACATAGACGTCGAACCCCCGCAGACGATTTGAATACCTGACGAAACATACACGTCAAACCATGCTGAACGGTTAAAGAAAGCATTAATCATGTTGAAAAGGCTTTGAGGTGTTGCTGTTTTCAAGATAGGCTCACAGAAAAACAATTCCTCTTGCTTATTACACTCGTCAACAAAACGAACGTATGCAATCAAATGAGCATCTTCGTCCGCTTGAAGTGCAAAGCACTTGTTACACAACTTCTCAATTAAATGCTGACATAAATCGTCAGACATGTCTGAAATTCTTCTACAAACTTNACAAACTGTCATTAGAGAGGGGGACATTTTTCAATTGTTGAGCAGAAGAGTCACCAAACATTGTTGATACTATGTCAATCACTGCTTGTAAAATCAGTGATTCTGCAATTGTGTGTGGTTTCTTGCATTTAGCAATTCTATGAGTAACCTGATAAGAGGCTAAAAGGGCCTTAGAAGTCACATTTGTTGTTTTAGCAAATTTCTGTTGGGTGTACTTTAAACCACTAAGCTTTCTAACAAAAAAATCTTTTGGTTTATTTGTAAACTTCTGATGTTTGGTTTCATGATGTCTCTTTAATTTATTAGGTTTCATACTATCTGCAGCTAAAATTCTTAGACAGATTACACATTGCGGACGTTCTTCATCATTGATCACAGTTTTTGTAAAGCCTAGTGATAAATAGTTGTCATCATACCTTCTTGTTTTCACACTCTGAGTAGCTTCTTTCCCACCACTAGTTGAAGGAGCACTGGTGTCTTCATTTCTATCACTAATCAGGAAATGCTTCATGATCAGTTGTTCATAATCAAGTCAACTTCAAAAGGTAAACAAATCAGCACAACTGCACTGAAATGTTGAATGCATAAGAACACAACATCAAACAGGCATACCCATCGATCACCATTGAGTCTGGCAACAAACTGTCTGCTCCCTGCCCAACAGGCGCCAATGAGATGACATAAGTCACTGCTTTCAGCTGCACGTGTACAGAGCTGCCTGGAAGAGGATGCGGCTGCTACCGAACTATCAACGCTCTCTCTGACATACGGGCTTTATAATTGCCAGTAAAGAGAATAATTATTAGTTGTTTTGAAATTCATGATAATTAAAGCCTGTACTCATCAAAAGTTTTTCTATATGTATTTTAATTTTGTTACTTTTGTAATTGATTTAGGGCAGTTTTAATTTTTATCTGTAGGAAAGTATGCTGTGCCCCCCTTTCAAGCCCTTCGCCCCCCCCCATGGGGGTCGCGCCCCACAGTTTGAGAACTACTCCAGTACACTACTGCGCAAGAATTGTAACTACACGTCATTTTGTTCCAAAGATATTGACTATCAAAAAATGAGTACATTTTTTTTGACCCCACTGTATAGACAATGTTTACAGTATTATAGAAAAGGAAGAATATTAATTATACGAGGGGGTACCCAAAAGAAACCGAACTTATTTTTGTTTAACTTATTTATTCAAATTTTAAGCACAAACCTTCAATCCCCTTCAAAGTACTCTCCACTTACACTAATACACTTGTCTAGTCATTTATTCCATTTTTCAAAACATTGTCTAAATTCATCTTTTGAGATGCTTGACAGCGCCTCCGTTGTTTTTTCCTTTCATGTCTCTTTTCATTCGAGGAAACAAAAAAAGTCGCATGGGGCAAGGTCGGGTGAGTATGGAGGGTGAGGAACAGGGGTCATACCATTTTTGGTCAAGAATTGTCGTACAGACAGGGCTGTGTGAGCAGGGGCATTGTCATGATGGAAAAACCAGTCACCCGACTGCCACAAATCTGGCTGCTGAGCTCCAAGTCACTCCTGACAGCTCCACAATTTCTTCAATGGTCCGTCGTCGATCTTCCTTGATGATTTCACGAATTTTTTCAACATTTTCATGTGTTGGGGCCGTGGAAGGACGACCAGAACGAGGTTTGTCATCAATTGACATTTCACCATTTTTGAAACGGGAAAACCACTCACTTGAGTTTTCCCCATAGCATCGTCCTTGTATGCCGTTTTTAACATTTCAAGAATTTCTGTTCCACTTTTCCCGAGCAAAAAGGAGAATTTCACCGCCGCACGCTGTTCACGAAAATCAGCCATTGCAAAAACGACGATCACACAAAACAGCTGTCACTATAAACTCTGCCGAAACTAGTCCCTACCTTCTGAAGCAACGGTAGTCGGCTTATCGACTCAGGAATGTTAGCTCTATGCGCACATAGCGGCAAAACACGGTACTACAAAAGCTCTGCCCACAAAAAGATTAGTTCGGTTTCTTTTGGGTACCCCATCGTATGTTGAAATAATTGACTTGCATGGTCTGCCTAGGTGCACATTTCTAGAACACACCAGAATATATGCATGCAACTTTCTGTTGCAGGAGTTTACAGTATGGAGTGGAATTCCTTGGGCCAGTGTTTGTACATAGCAAGCTTTGAGCAGAATGCAGTGTCCGTAAGTCTGTCTCCTACAAGCCGTCATCTGTTAGTTGGTCTGGCATCACGGCGAGTGGCATTGCTGCCAACAGATCAACACACCATGGCACAGATTTTTCGACTGGAAGGTGGCCTCCCAGGCCGACCCATTGGTGCTCGTGGTCGCCTGTCTCATATTCGTGATATTGTACAAGATAGGGAGCAAGGTTACATGAGTCTCAATTGCATCCGGTGGGCTCCTGGCCCAGGGCAGGGACTTGTCTATGGGACCAATACAGGGAAACTTAAGCTGTTGAGATAGTGAGTATAACCTAGGATTTTTATGATTCTGTTTCGAAGGCAGGACCCATGAGAGATACACACAGAGAAGATAATTAAACTTTCATATTAGTGTAAGAAACTGTTGTGACTGATGTTTGTTGCTTTGATATTCTAGAATGTCGTTAGTTACAGACATGCTGCTGTGGTGGATGGTAATAAGGCTGATCGGTGAGATTTTAGGTTTTGGCATCAGTGACTATGATGTAGTAAATATGGTACCGGTATTTTGGAGGATCTTCTGCCTCCATGTTCAGGGGAGCTATTCTGCCTTGAAGGTGGGGGTGGGGAGATGCTTGTTTGGAACATTGGTACTTATCTACCAAACTACATGTTCTCATATCCCGAATGGTTGTAATCTGCAGGGCTGATCAATAAGTATTGGTTGTGCATTATTTCTCCTCCACCTGTTATCATGTGTGATCTGGTTTTTAACATTCAGTGAACACTTTGGTCGCACCATTCTACACGTTACCACTGTTTTATATTAGAACATGTATAATGGAAAAACACTGGATAGAACAGCAAACTTCCTGCATCTATGCAGCCTGTTTGGAAGAACTGTTATGATTTTCAGAAATTTTAATGTCAGATGCTTGTTTCTGGGTCAGATCACTGGGAAATTGACAGAATTGTCAAGCATTTGTTTTCTGAGCAAATATAATGACTATGATGAAGTTGAGCTTTGATATAGCCCTTCTTCTTGTAAAATTAAAACTCATATATTGTGTATCTTGCATTGTTGCTACATTCTGCACATTGTTCCCCCATTTATGGCCAATTCATATGCATTGTTACTTATACAGGAATTTGGTTCAGTTATGATCTTATATACTCACCTGTTTTCATTTTATTGTGCACACAGGACTGTTCAGAATCTTGTAAACTCATTTGATTGTAAAATAAAATTTATCGTAGAAGGAACTTAAATCCTTACACCAGTTCAATGCATATAGCACCAACGAAGTTGGCTCAAGTTGTAGCAGTTTGGACTTGTGTGTGACAGAAGCTTGGATGGGACACTGAATATCCTGAGATGTTCCACGTTTCCCCATATTCCAGGCAAATGCTAAGACTGTATGTACCTCTAATTAAATATGATATCTTTCCACTCCTTTCGGTTCATCTTTCAACAATCATTCTACCATTCGTTGCTCTGTAGTCCAAGTTATTGATATCTTCATAAATAAAGAAAACAGGTTTGGCAAAAGTAATAAAATAGGATAGGCCAAACTTCAGACATGAGACTATGCCTCAGCACATATGGAGACACAGACTGATAATGATGACCAGTTCCACACAGAAACTGCCCATGACATCAACCCCAGAAACACAAAACTAAACAACAGGATAGAAGATGACAGCCCTGACCACAGCATAACAACACACATGAGCCATCTAGAAAAACTACAACTACATCTGCATCTGCAAAATGCTGAAATAACCTAAAATAAAATATATTTCTGGAAAGAACAAAACTTTTATAATAAAGGGACTTTAGAATTCAACATCATTCTGCACGTTTTAACAAACTCCAATTTTAACAAAGATGTACATAATATGGTACCTTTACACCCAAATATATCAAACTGACAACACTGGCAAATGTAAGGGATGGGCAGTTTAGTGCTAGTAGTGAAAGATCCTCCCTTGAAATAGGCTATAACCACTTCCTTCCTCATCCTTTCCAGTTATAATCACCATCTGATCTTACTGATAACAGCAGCAGTTGACATAGCATCATAAAATAAACCAAGAACCATATTTGAATATACCTTGACATTGGTAAGGGTTCAAATATGTATTTCTTAAATGATCTTCCAAAGTTGGTATACAGAAACTTTTTTTTTTTTGGTGTTGTATCATTCTTATTACCCTGATTTTACACTTTCCTTGACATAACATTCATTTTTGGTTGTCCTTTAATAAGTGTAAAATTGAAGCCTCCCTGTATAAACGCATATTATATTTTCCATACAAAGGCAGTATGTGTAAAGGAATATAATGGATTTAGATGTTTTAAGAAGGTCTGAAAACAGAAACTTCTCAGGGCTAGATTACATTAATATGTGTATGTAATTACTGAAGTATGCAAGTGGGGGGGAAAAGTACAGCTGTCAATGTATGGAATACAAGTAGAGCTGGGATAGCTCAGTCAAAATAGCAACTGGCTACAGGCTGCATGGTCAGGGTTCAATTCCTGCTAGGGCCAAGATCTTCCTTTCCTCCATACTGCCCAGACCCACTTTGGGGATCACTCAGCCTCCTATCAGATGGGTACTGGGGGGTAAAACAGCAGGGGTGGGAAGCTGACTCACCTCCATCTAGTGCCAAGAGCTAGAATGGTGGAGCTATACCTCCGCTCCCTAATACACCCTAATTCATGGCGTGACACCTTTACCTTTTACCTTTATGGCACGTAGGTAGGATAACTGAAGAATGGAAAATAGCAAGAATCATTAATATAACGAGAAAATCTGGGAAGAAATAATCACCTACTTCCCTTTATCACAGAGACCACATATAAAATGAAAATTAAGGTGGGGGGGGTTACACAGACAGAACAATGTAATCTCATAAGCCTCCTTTTATTTTTTCAAAATAACAGAAGCAGGCTAAAATGAAATGTTAAAGTTATAGTAGAACTGTCTCTGTTAAGCTTAGTATATAAAATATATATAACAGTAATAAAAATAAAATTACAGCCAGTAGCAGAATTAATCTTAGGAGTGTGGTTTCTGCAAAGGTGGCACATGTCGGCACAATATGCCTTATAAAGCAGATATTAAAATAGAAGAAAGAATATACTCTGCCTGTATTTGTTCTATTCTTAGATCATGGAAATACATACAAGTAAATAACTGAGTAAATATTGGAATATTGAGATTTGTTATGGTCTCCTGGCAGATCTGGTTATTGCTACTGCATCAATATTTAACATTATTATTGCCTTTAATAAGGAAAAATAAAGGCATATAACCCTCATAGTAGCAAACCAAAGACTAAGATAAGGGTGTGATCTTCCTCCATTATTCAGTCTCTACGTAATTGAAGTTTTAGAAGACTGGAAATTAACTTGGGAAAGTTTACAACCAAGAGACAATAAGTATATTAATACAGGGTGATCGAAAAGTCGCCCACATCAAACTAAAAGTTGTTATAAATTGTATTGCAGTTAATATAATTATATCTCCTACCACTAGATGGTACTGTAGGAGTACTAACGAGTAGAAACGCTATCTGTTGTGTATCGGTCATACGATGTCTGCAGTATAGCTTTGCTTATTTTGTGACAGATATCTCGTTTTCCCAAGAACAAAGAGGTTTCATCGAATTGAAGAGTTTGATCAGGTTTCCTTCCATGACGAAGCATGGTTTCACCTTAGTGGCTACGTGAACAGTCAAAACAACAGAATTTGGTCATCTGAAAATCCACGTGGTACATGAAAAGCCCTTGTGCTATCAGAAAATTGGAGTGTAGTGTGCTGTATCACATCGAATAGTGGGCCCAGTTTTCTTTGAAACAACAGTGAACAGTCCAGTGTACCAAGACATGATTACACGGTTTATTGTGCTTCTTGAAGTTGGTGAACATGAGTGTTGGTTGCAGCAAGACGGTGCCACATGTCACACATCTAATGAAACCATGCAGTTCTTGCACGAGTTTTTGGTGACCGTCTCATTTCGAGCGGCCCCCACGTTTGTCCAGTTTGTCACCCACAGATTTCTTCCTTTGGGGGTACCTCAAAGGAATTGTCTATAAAAACAATCCGCATACACTGGATGAACTCAAGAGGAACATTACGACCGCAATTATCAGCATCAGTTTACAGGTGCTCCACAAAGTGGCCTCAAACATTGTAAAAAGAGCTTGTGCATGAATTGCTGAACAGGGAAGCCATTTTGAGCATATGTTGTAAAGACATTATTTAATTTTGCATTTCTAAGATGTAAGGTTATAAACATTAATAGGAAGTGCTGTATGTCTTGCAGGGTGTGCATTAAACCAGCAAAATATAATTGCTTAGTGTGATGTGTGCGACTTTTCGATCTTCCTGTACAATACCATTTGCAGATGATCAGGTACTTGTGGCAGACACAGACCATTTACATGAAAAAATAAAAAACAAGGAAAAAGACTCTGGCCTGTAGTCCGCAAGCAAACTATACTGACCGAGCGACCACAGCTTGTCGGTGAAGTTAATGTCCACTTTAGCAGATAGAGGGTGTCATGTGGTCAGCACAACTGATCCCCCACGGCCGTTAATCTTGGTTTTCTAGACTGGAGCTTCTACTTTTCCATTCAAGTGGCTTCTCAATTATCCTCACAAGGCTGAGTGAACCCTGTTCCAGGCCCACTACATCTCATAAAATCTGGTAGTGCTGGGAATCGAACCCGGGACCTGTGGATTGTAGCCAGGGACTCTGACCACAGAGGCGGCAAATAAATCCAAAATGACAAACGCTCAAGCAAATAGCTTTTAAATGAATGGACAGCAGCCAGAAGGAAAACATTAGCATGTTAATTAATTTGAATTAGTAAATATTGCATTCACATGGGGTACACAATTTTGACATACAGTGCAACAATTTTAGCAAGATAGAAGACGTGATGATGACCATATACAGCCGAAACATGTAGTGAGGAAGAACTAGACAAACTGCATTTAAGACAGAAATATATGTGTGCAAATATCAAAGGAAATTACATAATTGTGTACAAAGGAAGGATGCCTCCTGAACATCTGCTATGGCTGCATATTACTATTATAATATCCTGTTGGAAGATGGGGCATTGGACATCCAACATAATAGGCACAACAATTCTTTTAGTTTTGGAATGATATGTAAGTCAGTCCTTGAACTAGAAGAAGGTATACTTCAAAATCATACATAGGTTGACTTTGAACTCCAAGCACTGATTTTGGGATTTGTCTCATTGACTTAGTGCACCAACACCACATGCACAATCCTGCAGTTGGGTGTGTGCATGCGCATACTGCACCACAGGCTACATTGTACTTGTTTCAAACAAACCTTGAACAAAAGTCAAGCAATGCTTTCAGTTTCCACGAGATATAGCTACTCAGTGTAACGCAGAAAGTTCCAAAATGGGTTCAAGTGTTGTCCTGCGCTTTGATAATACTTGTACTATTGCAATGTCATGAATGAAGTTGTGATGAGGTTCTCATGGGGCTCAAATATTCAGATCACAGTCTTTTTGAATGTGCAGCCATGTAGTTTGGTACATGGGTGCCAAGATTTCAGAGAAATCTGTTGTCTCCATCTTCAGGGGCAAGGTGGCTTCAACTGCAAGCTGGATGTTCCTGTGAAATGTTGGTACTCACCTATCAGACTAAGACTTGTATGAACACTAAGACACAGCATTAAAATAAAGAACTAAAGGATTAAATTTGAATTTCTTGTAAAAATATGATGGGAGACATTTATAGGGTTGTCTTCATGTTCACATTTGTATTGGCATTACTTTACTGCTGTTTGTAACAAAGACAAGTGATATCATCAGTATACAGACATTTGACAATTCAAGAAGCTCTCATTATATTGCTTCAGGTGGTCAGCGTGGTAAACTGGGTATTGAAACTGATGTCCCAGACTGCAAACTTGAAAATGTTGGTAATGCAACACCTTCTGAATTGGAAGGTGTCTCTTCAAGTGCCGATGACTGGTCAATAAAGAGAAGACCTTCAGGGCTAAAATGCGTGAATAGTTCTGTTGAGTTCTTAGGCTCATCTGTTTCACTGTTAAACTCTGAATTCAGGGTCACAAACTGCGGTGTGTGATCAGGCACTTTGTCTGTTGAGTTCAGTAATACATTGTCTATTGAAGATAAGGGATTTCCAGGAACCCCTAAACCATCCTGCTCCAGAATTGTTTCAAGGAACTTAGAGTCATGAGAGGCCACCAATGCTCCTCCAGTCTCTGGGATGTACTGTGCCCTTTCCTGTTGCTCAGCCAATAGGGGAACACCATAAGATTCTGCATCCTGTTTCCCAATCATCACATCAGAGAGCTGATTTTTTGTTATGGCAGAGCTGTTGAAATTCGAAGAAGAGGGAAGACATGCTGCAACAGCATCCTCTTCTTCATGTTTCTTCCGATGAAGGTTGAGATTTCCAGTCTGTGAGAAGAGCTTCCCACAGCGAGTACATTCATATGGCCTCTCTCCTGTATGGCTTCTGTAATGACGACTTAGTTTGTACACAGTAGCAAACTGCTTCCCACAGCGATCACATCTGTAATCACCAACTTTAGTAGTAGGCGAGGAACATGATAAAGGAGATCCATGTAAATTGAGAATATGAGATCGAAGAGACACCCTAAATCGGAATGTCTGGCCACAGTGGGGACATTTGTGTGGGTTGAGGCCAGCATGGCTCAGAACATGTAATTTCAAGCTAGATCTCTGGCTGAACCCAGTACCACACACCTCACACAGAAATGGTTTTGCTCCACTGTGTACAAGGCGGTGCCTTACCAAGTGACCATGGGAACGAAAGGACTTGGAGCACACTTCACACACGTTTGCTGTGTGACCAGACAATGAGCTGTACGCATCATTTGCAGAATCTTTCTGTTTGATAGTCGATGTGGAGTGACAGCCACTACACCATACAGTGTTTGCAACTTCTCCCATGCTGTTTGTCTGAAGGAACTGTGCCAATTCACCACGCTGGCCACACACTCGACAGCGACAAATTACTGTGCCAATGCCATGAGTTACCATATGCAGCGTCGTGTGATCGACCACTTCCAGGTATGTCTGACACAAAATGCACTCCACCTTGCCATCAGGTCCTATGTTTACTGTGACTTGCCCACAGTCAACTGATGCTTTGCTGCCATCAAATGTAGTAGTGCTTGCTACAGCCAACACACTCTTACTCTCAGGTAACACATCCTGAAAATAAATACACTTTCATTCCAGTCAAGCACAGAAAGTAATACATATCAGTCACCTCACTGCTACCTTTTAATTTCTTCAGACACAGTTTTATGTTAAACATATGTTGGTCTAGACTGAAGTCATGTTTGGGTGTGTTGTATACTACTGAATAAGTGAAACTAAAATATGCTGACAACTACATGATGCCAAAGAAAGAAGTCCCATGGTTCAACCTCCTCATCTTTCAAAAGCCATAACACTCCCCCCTCCAGCATTCCTATATTCCCCTTTAGTCCCTACCAATTCCATTCACATGGATCACAGAATGATCAACACATAGCACAGCTGCTAACAGGACACATACTCTGCTATGATGAAACCTATGCTACAAGTGGCAAGGTCACAGATTCAATTCCCAGTGAGTTAATTGGATTTTTCCATTGACCTAATCCTTCCAGTCGCAATATGGCCCTGCAGTCAACTCAGCCTCTAATAGTACCACAAATCTTCCTGGGGGTAAAGGGTGGTCAACATGTAAGGCTGACAACCTCATCACCATCCATGAGATGACTGTCTAAATAAAGTGAGAGTGTCAGCATCTCACAACACTATGGGCCTCCACGGCCTGTTACAGGGATAGCTTTACCTTTACCGTACCTGATGCTGTTTGTGTGGTCCTGCAGGACGCCATGAGGCGGCAGATAATGGGTTCGCTACTTGTCTACAGAAATCCAACTTTGAATTTGTTGTACCAACTGTGCCGCCATATAAACTGAGAAATGCCAAAATAATTTTGAATGGTAAGTTGGGAGGAAGCAACCATGACCTACATAACACTTCAGGTTCTCACAATGGTCAGTACTATGACTAGTCTTCAGGGATATGACATCATACAGACAGATGACAGTAATTTCAATTTAAGAACAGACCTCTTATAGCTTCAGCTGACCCATGCCTGTGCTTCTGTGGATCATAAAATAACAAAGTGTAGATATAGTCTGAAATGCTAAAATGTGCCTGCACACACATCTGACTCTCAGCCCATTATCTGTATGGATGCTTCCTGAACCTTTGCAATGGAAGTATGCACAATATCACTTAGATAATATTTTCACATAGCAAGAGTGCCCATTTTTTAACTGTACATTACATATCTGTTACGAATCTCCCATGTCAAACTTGGTACTTATATTAATTTTTCCCTAGCTTCAATCTCCACGTACAATGGAGAACCATTTCCTCACCTGAGAAAACCCTAATTTTTCTTTATGAAGTGTCTTTTGTACGTCTTGAACCATGTCACAAAACTCTGTGAAGCTGTTTATCACTCTTTCACAGTCAATACACACAAACTTCGGCAGACCATCTCCAACTACAATATGAACGACCTGAAATAACCACAAATTATATTTTAAAATATAAAGACATTATCGAGCTTCATTTACATTATGTACACATATACTTTTACAACTGCCTTTCTTTCAGAAGTTGTCCATATACCCTTACAGCATGCAATATAACCAATTCTGTGTGAATTATCTATATCATTTTTTTGGGGGGAGGGGGGGTTCAGATACTTCAACCTCTGATGAATAGAACACCAGTCTGCAATACAAGTTTAGTGGAAGTAAATGCAGACTAAATCTTAAGATATGTGACATTATATTGTTGCTGCTAATGATGTTCTTTTGCACTTAGAAAACACACAAAAATAATAATATTCACCTCTTTAGATAAGTGTTTGCTGATTTTTGACAATAAACCTTCCTGCTTGGCTAAAGCACTGTATACATTTAGTCCTCGTGATTTGCTCAGACCACATAAACGACATTTGTTCTGTGCAAAGCCTTTTCGTATCATTCTAAACTGCAGATGAGTGACACTGTACTATGTAACTGCAAACAAGAAAAATAAAAACTGAATGTGTAAATTTTCATTATAACTATTGCAACAGCAAAATACGGACTGACAATATTACAGGCATTACAAGCACTGCTCTTTGTGGCATAAACATAACAAGGTCAAACCTGAGCTCAGTTTACACTCCTTCAAACAGTATGTATATAATTAGTTTGTGGCTCGCAGAAATTGTAACAGAAAAAGTACACAGCATCCATACAGAGTTTAGATGGTCTGAACTAAATTACCAAAACACATTTACACTGTCGTTATCACCACTTAATCCTGACCACGTCCTCACTATTCAACTCCAGACATGCAATTTTAATACAAATTCTTCCTAATATCGAAATACTTGTTATGCAATGGAAATTATTTTGCCGACGACTTTGTTTTATTTTGAAAACCAGTGGGAGAATACTTTATTTACAAATTGGGAAGAGTGGGTAAATTACGAAGATATCCTAAATATGTAAAATTTGAGGCTTTAATATGTAATTTCCCCGTACATTAAGAGAAAGTGATAGAGGCGGTGGCAGCAGTATTGATTGACAGCGTCATGAACTTAAAAGTAAATAAACTGCAGAAGCAACTCTGCAACATGCAATACAATCGATCTTTAACAATAATCAATGTTTCCCAGACGCCATGACACCTTCCCTGTCTTTGCCTCGTCACAGCAGAAGAAAAATTTTCAAGTAGCACAAGTAATTACATTTATCCGCGTTACATTTATAACAAGATATCATATGCTGCTAATGTGCTATTATCGATTGTTTCTAGCAACTTGATTTTCATAACAGTTATACTTAATTAGACCGCAGAAAAAAGTTCGACTTATTTTATTTCAAAGAGACGTTTTCTTCGTGTGCACGTAGGGAAATTTTCACGAGATTGCTATTGGAACTAATTTCGGGGAAAACAACGAAGACTACAGAACAACAAGAGTAAAAAAATATAAACTAACTAAATTTGTTTTTTAATTAGGGAAGTGTCATTGTGAAATATTTATGGAAATATTTGGCACATAGAGAAATTTGGTTGCTATTTGGTACTTTCATATTTATAAGTGTGGTTACGTTGCGTCGCTTTATTCCTCTCTATTCCCCCTCTTCGGATCGGTTGCGGTAGTTGAGAAGCGTAGGACGTGTAAGGTTTTAAGGGAGCGGTGTAGTAGTATTATCGTGGAAAGAAGCTAGGGAACGAAGTCCCTGCCACTTTGTGGAAGGAGAGTTGGTGTGTTTGTACGTGTGGAAAGTTATATGGGTCTTGCACGAGGTCGGGGAAGAGGTCGGGGGATTACAATGAAGCCACCACCATTGATGGGACGCCTTGCTCCACCACCACCAGACATGTTAGGACCACGAGGAATGCCGTTACGGCCTCCAGGAATGTTGCCGAGAATGCGACCGCCACCACCAGGCATGAGGCCTCCGAGGTTGCCGCCACCGCGTCCAGGCCCACGACCATCGTTTTCACCGTTTATGCCACCGATTCCAAGCGCCCCACATTTTTCGCCACCCATGCCAAGGCCACCGATGCCTTTAATCAGACCCAGGCCAGGGCAGAGGCCTCCACCACCTGGTTTTCGACCAATTCCACCACTTGGTGTTGGCCCTCCCATGGGTGGTATGGGAAGGTTTGGGCGTGGTGGCAAGAGGATGGGTCCACCAATTAAAGGGAAGCCAAAAGCGAAAAAGACTAATACTGGAGAAGTAAGTGTTGTGTAATATTTTGACTAGTTATGTAATTTACATGTTTTTTTCGGGATTTCCAGTGTGGTCATTTTCTCGAGAGAAGGGGGTTAAGGGTAGCATCCTGGTCAGTCTTCAGGGCCTTCTGGCTCCGGGATGTAGTACCTGATTAGGTCTGCAGTGCAGGGTTACAAGAAATAGCCTTGTTGGGGCTCTGGGTTAGGGACAGTTGCAGCCCATTGGGGTAAGCCCTTAATGGTCATAAAGCTAAGCTGTGAAGAACTTAGGCAGCGGAGTGAGCACAGGAGGCAGCAGCCGTCTTTTGGAGGTAAATATTATGTAAAGGAGATGGATTTCATAGATTGAAGGTGAAAGGGGCCATAAGTGGCTTTGCCTTGCAAGATGCTGGTAACAAGGACATTTTTTATAGTCTTTTTCCTTCTTCAATCTATAATGCAACAAATTAATAACATTAATTCACATTTAATTCATACAATGATCGTTAAATGTATAAAATGTTAAAATTATTAAAATATATATACACATGTTATGCTGCTGCATGTTTTGGCCTTACAAGGCCATCTTCAGGCAACACTTATTTAAGGATTCTAATTCACTGTACACTAAGTATTCATAAGATATTTCTTTCACGTTCCTTCATATCTTTTTGAATTGTGGCTGTTTCTCTGCAATGTATAACACAAATGTTATTAATACAATTTGTTTTTAATGCTTGCTTATACTATCTTTGTGTATCTAGATGTTTTATTTTGTACTTACATGTCAGATGTGTTTTTTGTTGTGTGTATCAAGTGTTTCCTTACGTCTCTTGTTTTGATTTTTCATGTGTGATTGCTCTCGCTTAAATACTTTTTAGGTAGTGAGCATGTTGCTATCTATTTTAAAGTTCATGTGTTTCAGTGTTTTCAGCCATAGAGGAAACCTGACAGCAGTATAGATCGGATGGAACATTTCTCCATAACTACTGTGCCCTTCCCTGCTAGCGAGAGTACAGTCATGTCACTGATTCCCTCACATCAGTTTCTGTACATGCACACATTTATAAGAATACTGCAAAATATAACACAAACTTATCGATCTTTATAACAGGTGCTGAACGTGACCCCCTTCTGCTTGCAAACATGCCTTGCATTGCATAAATAAATTATGCGACACTTTCTGAAGTTTGTCCATGACAATTACGAATGTTATCTCATTCTGCAAAGCTTCGGTGCTGCAAAGACTTGTAGACTTTTTCCTTTAGGTTTCCCCAAAGATAAAAATCGCAAAAACTGAAATCTGGGTATCTGGGAGGCCACAGTACTCTGCAAATTGATTATTGTGTGCCTGTGGTTGCATTAGCCATACATGCTGTAGCGTCTTGCTGAAAATGCCCATATTTTCTATCTTCAGCAGTCATCTGACTGAAGAACAGATTCAGTATATCATTAACATAGAGGTCAGAGTTCATGGTTTCATGCTAAAATAAGGGGCCAGTGATTCACCACAGACTTAGAGCACACCACATCCCCACCATTTCACTATGTAATGGCACTGGCTGTATAGTGTGAGGATTTTCATTGCTCCATATTCTTACATTTCATGCATTGACATGGCCACTAACATGAAACCATGCTTCATCAGTCATGAACAGAAGCTGTGGATCCACAATTCCATCATGCACATTTTGCAGCAGCCAGTTGCAAAAATGAATTCTCGCTGCATAATCTGATTGTTTCAGCTCATGCACAACTGTTATTTTATATGGGCAAAATTTGATTAATTTTGTGGCCGTGAAAGCAGATCCTAATGAAACACTGGTTTCCTGTGCTGAATGTCTTTAACAGTTTTCAAGTCCTGATTTGTAGTTGTGCCGCAGTATCCCAAACCTTTGCTTCAGTCAGCACAGTCTTCTTTGATTGCTTCTTTATGTCACACTGAACCTGTGGCCCGCCACTTTTTCACAAGCTTGGATACACACAACTTTGTGGGAACTGGCAAGTCAGGATATTTATGACAAAATTTACGGACACATTTTCTGTAGGTTTTTTCTTGCAGAAGTTTCAACAATAAACATGCTGTTCAGTAGTGAACTCCATTTCAGTATAAATGTCGACCGCTTATCAACACCTCTCACAAAGGCTATTAATGCGACTTACTGCAGTGACAAGATCAGCAGACCACCTGACAGCATGCGTTTAAAAGCACTAATGACTCATTCTGCTATCGACAGTTGCAGCAGCAATCTGTGAGAAATGTTGCGTCCGCTCTACACTGCTGCCAGGTTTCGTCTGTCTTTGAATGCACTATATTTGAAATGTGGCGTTGTGTACCTTGATGTGTGTATCGTTCATGTTCAAGTTATTTTTGATAATTTTGTAAGTATGGTTCTTTTTCTAAAGTGTTTAAATGTCTGCCCTTCCTTCCCATACTTATGACATCCAAAGTGTCTGTTATTGAGCCATATGTGTTACCCATGTTTAATATATGACTTGAATAGCCAGAATTACTATTATTATTTCTGATGACATGACAGTGCTCTTTATATCTTATGTTGAATGTTCTCCCAATTTGACCAATATATTTCATTGGGCAATCTAGACATTTCATCTGGTAAATACCACAATTGTCATATTTATCAGTTTGTATGTGATGTTTTAGTATATTATTAACCGTGTTTCTTGTGCGAATAGCTATTTTGAGATGTGTGTTCTTAAAAAAGCTTAGTTATTTGTCTTCATTTCCACAATATGTAAATAAAACCAATTTTGTTTTTTAGTGTTTTTGATCTTTGTGTACTCATATATGTTTTGTTTTCGTGATTGTGATAGTGGTTTCTCTAGTAGACTTGTGTTGTTTTGTTAGTATGACACAACTGGAGAAATTCTTCAGGAAGATGGAAGAGGTGACACAAACAGCATCATATTAGGAGACTGGAATAGCACTGTTGGAGATGAATCATATCAGAATATTGTTGGATCACATGGACTAGGAAGACGGAATCACAGGGGTCAAATGCTTATTGACTTTTGTGAAAGAAATGGACTGATTGTTACCAACACTTGGTTCAAGACGCCAAAGAGAAGACTTTACACATAGAAGGCACCTGGGGATTGGCGGCAGCATCAGCTGGACTACATCCTTGTGAAACATCGATTCAGAAACAGTGTGAAGGATGTGAAGACGCTGCCTGTGGCAGATATTGACTCTGACCACAACTTACTGGTTGCCAAGTTTCAAACCAGGTTGAAGAAAATTATAAGATTCCAAAAGTGCAGACCTAGATGGGATTTGGAGAAGTTATATGCTCACAGACAAAGCATGCAGGAGACCCTAGAAGAGAAACTCAGTGCAATTGAAAGTGAAAGCGGAAATGCTGAAGTGTAGTGGAACAATATAAAAGAATGCGTGTTAGATACTATTAGTGATTTGGTTGGTAAAGTTAAGAAGATAGCAAGAAAACCATGGGTTACACAGGAGATGATGAGTAAACTGGAGGAGTGAAGGAAGTGGAAGAATGTAAACAATGAAGAAGGCAGGAGGAAATACAGGAGACTGAGGAATGAATTGAAAAGAGCCACGGACAGGGCCAAAAAGGAATATCTTGAGAAGATATGTAATGAGATTATAGAATTTCAAAGGACAGGACGTTATGATTTGATGTACATGAAAACAAAAGAACTAGGATGGAAGGAGAACCATGTGATTCAAAATATTGGCATCGAAGAATAGAATAGGGGAATAGAATAGTAGATCAGAGGAAAGTGCTGAAAATTTGGGAACATTATATTACAGAACTATATGATCGACCTAATCAGCCAGAAACCTTGGAAGTGGAACCCAAAGAAGAAGTAGATACAGACGAGAAAGGACCATATATTTTACAAAGTGAGGTGGAAAAAGCTATCAAGGAAATGAGGAAGGGAAAGGCTACAGGAGATGATGATGTACCTGGAGATGTGCTCAAGTTACTGGGAGAAGGTGGTTTGAAAACACTGACAAAACTAATGAACACCATATATGAAACTGGGGAGTGGCCCAAGGACTTTACAGAAGTGACAGTGATTGCCTTAAAGAAAAAAGACCAAGCTACAAAATGCAGCGACCATCGCACAATAAGTCTTATTGCACATACAGCAAAGATAATAGCAAAGATACTTAAAAGAAGAATTGAAAGGAAAATAGAGGATATACTTGGAGAAGATCAGTTTGGATTTAGAAGAGGAAAAGGAACCAGGGATGCAATTGGGATGATGAGAATTATAGCGGAACGAACTTTGGAGATAGATGAAGAACTGTGTGTTTGCTTCATAGACTGGCAGAAGGCATTTGACCGTGTAAACTGGACCAAATTAATGCAGATCCTGAAAGAAACAGGTATCGATTGGCATGAAAGAAGATTGATTAGCAAATTGTACATGGATCAGAAAGTTAGAGTACGACTGGACAGAGGGGAGACAAGAAGTGTGCAGATTGGAAGAGGAGTTCGACAAGGATGCTGTTTATCACCAATTCTGTTCAACTTGTACAGCGAATGCCTTACCAAGGAAGCTCTGGATGGGCTCGGTGACTTCAAAGTAGGAGGGCAAATTATTCAAACTGTGAAATATGCAGATGACCTTGTGTTAATGGCTAAGGAAGAAACTGTGCTACAGGGCATGATTGATAGACTAATTGAAATTGGAAGGTGCTATGGCATGGAAATGAATGTGGAAAAAACAAAAGTAATGAAAATTTTGAGACAACCAACCCCAGTCACAATAAAGATAGACCAAAAACAAATGGAGAATGTGAAATGTTTTAAATATTTGGGTAGCTTGTTAACGGATGATGGAAGGTGTACGTGTGAAATTAAATCTAGGATTGCCGTGGCAAAAGCTGCATTTAGGAAGAAGAAGAATCTTTTTACCAGCAAATTTGACTTAAATTTGAGAAAGAAACTAGTGAAATGCTATGTTTGGAGCATCGCTTTGTATGGGGTTGAAACTTGGACACTTAGGGCAGTAGATCAGAAACAACTG